ACTCGTAGGACCAAAATTAATTTCTAAAATTAATTTTGTTCTTCCTATGGTAGAATTCTGATTTATGATGCTTGTACTCAAAGACCTAAAAACTAAGGGGATCTAAAGTACATTTGGCTTCATCAAAACTTACAAAAAATATTCCTATCAGGCCTATAGCCGAGCCACACTAGTGGGAACGATGTGCACAACCCAACCGAAATCCACCTTATACCGCTAAGGCCCTATACAGAAAGTAAGTGAGAGGTTTGGTATGGACCGCTCACCAACCTTAAGCCAAAGTCTAGTCCCCTCCGGCACAGAGCTCTGTGTTTTTACCCGGGAAGACTTTTCATGGTCCCAACTTAAGTGTTGGTTCTCACCTGCCTCCACCCTTATGCCAAGGATCGATTCCCCGCGACATAGATCTCTATGTTTTAACCAGTGGCAACCTTTTGTGATCCCGACAAAAGCAATGGCTCCCTCTTTTCACTCATATATTTTTCATTATTTTTTTCTTTGGGCAGCCATTCTTGGTCTTTGCCTTTTTCTCTTGTAATCCCCTTCTTCATTCACATCATTCTCACCCAAGAGATCATTCACACTATGCGGCATAAGAAAGGGGGTAAGGGTCTCATGGCCATCAAATTAGACCTTCACAAAGCCTATAATAGCATTGATTTGGACTTCCTGGAGACTACTCTTGAGGACTTTAGGTTCCCTCACCAGCTTATCAGGCTTATTATGTTTTCGATCAAGGAAAACGCAATTTCCTTGCTTTGGAACGGAGAAAAGCTTACCCCCTTCAGCCCGGTGCGGGCCTTCGCCAGGGGATCCTCTTGCTCCCTATCTCATTATTCTTGTCATGGAAAAGTTGTCTTGGGAAATTCAAGAAGAGGTTCGGAGTAAAACTTGGAAATCGATTGATCACAGACACGCTTACAACTTACGATTCTCTCTATAGAAGCGACGTCAAAAGATTAAGATGTGCATAGGTCGTGTATGGAAAGATAGGTAAAGTTAAAACAGGGAGTGAGAACCACCCCGAGTGTCATACTCAAGGAATTACAACTTGGAAGTTGAGTAAAGGATTGGGTGAGATTGTTTCAACTTTGAGAAGCTCGATTCAAGAGGAAGTATGTAACTGATTGGTTGAGTAGGAAAATGAAATAGTAACAAGCTTGGAAAAGTAGAAAGAATAAGAAAGGGAAAAGTGGATTAGGATCTTGTTACAATTTCATTATGTGATGGGTCTTTCCCGCAATTGAGAGGTTGTGGTGAGTTGGATGACTTGTTACGAATCAAGAGGGATTTTGCTAATGCGTCGCCAATTTCGGTCTAAACGCATCCCGTAGTGAATTACGGCACCCAGGTGCCCGTAGTTCCTATGGGAAAAACTTACAAACACCTTGCCTACATTCTTTCTCGGACCACCATCCTATCGGTTTTAGGGCGGGGAATGTAGAGGATTAAGAGGCCTACCTCGGCTTAGCAATCTCTTACCTAAACTGAGAGATCCAAACCCTCCAAGGAGTCGGGCCCTACTCCAAAGAAGTCACAAAACCATCCTCCAACAACAATATCCAAGCAACAAACATAAAAAAACCACCACATTCATACAATCAAATCAACACAAACATCACAATAGCAATTTACACCACAATCATAATCCCTAGAAATTTAGCCAAGCATCATTAAAGGAAAGATCAAACAATTGCAAAATAGGTGAATCACAAGATATAAGCAATAAAAGAGTAGGGAATAGATTTCACCCAAAATCCAAGCTAGATCCCTTTAATGGTGATTAGGAAATGAAGATCCAAGTGCAAGAACCTCCAAATCTCCAAAATCCTTATACAATTCAAGCAAGATTGGCTAAGATCTAGCGAAGGGAAGATAGATCTAGGCTAGATCTAAATTCTCTCTCTAAAAAAGATGTAGAACCCTAATCTAAAATTGTCTCTCTCTAACAAATTGTGTTCTCTCTCTAAAAATGGTTTTTTACTTCTAAAAATGGTCTCCCACAACTCCACAAGAAAACTGGTGTCTCTTTCTCAGCTATGCTCTTTTTACTGCTCTTTACCACTTTTTCATCCAAAAATACCTAAAAACACGTAAGATATAATTAGGAATGTATTTTCGTACTGAACTATGCTTTTGGGGTATTTCACTATAGAAACAAAGACTTTTCAACTAAAATGAGCACAAAACTCCTGTCACGGGCTCCTAGAAACTAGCATATTTTGAGGCTTATCACCGGTCGTGGTCTCTTGGGGAGGTACGGGTGTTTCTCGTCTTTTCTTCACGAATGATCTTATGCTTTTTGCTGAGGCCTTGGGAATTTCTCTAAGAGACCGGGTTTAAATATTAATACCAATAAGTCGAGTATTTTTTGTAGTACAAACACTTGTGCATGTTTTAAGAGGAATCTAAAAAGGATTACGGGAATTCCGGTCTCGGACAATTTGGAGAACCACCTTGGTGTCCCAATTCTCTAGCAAAGAGTTTCTAAAAAGACTTTCAGGTACATCCTGGAGGGTATGAAAAGAAAATTGGCCAACTGGAAGGCGGATGCTCTAAATCTTGCCGGGCGCAAGGTGCTAATCAATCGGTATTCTCTATCATGGCGGTGTATTCCATGCAGGTGTTCAGGCTCCCGGTGGGGGTTTGTAACGAGGTTGATAAAATTTGTAAGGGTTTCCTTTGAGGTGACACCGAGAATAAGATGAAAATTCATCTTGTGGGCTGGAATGATATTTGCAAATTGAAGAATTCAGGTGGTTTGGGCCTCAAGCGGTGCATGAATTTTAATGATGCCCTTCTGCATGAATTTTAATGATGCCCTTCTGGCTAAGTTAGCCTAGCAAATGAATACTTGCCATGAGAAAATTTGGGTTCTATTAGTGTTTTGGTTAGATAGGTAAACCCCAACTTTGCAATTGGCTTTATTATTATGGCAAACTAGTTAGGCCGTGTCAGAATTTGTCTGCTGTGTTGAAGGTGAAGACCTGATTGATCAGGGAATGCATCAGAAACTTATGTGAAGACTAGAAGCTGACAAGAAGATTGGTTGTCTAAAGGATGTATGCGCTGGCAGAAGGCAGTCATGCCTTGAGGTGTTTTTACAAGAATGACCTTGGTCCTCTTCTCACCTCAAAGGGGTATCTACGTAATCTTGCTACGAAGTTGTTTGGTGTAACAGATTACAGATACCTCCCTGAACCAGAGACTAAATATTCAAAAGTGCTGATTCATTGAGAGGCTAATGAATCCATCCGATACACTCTAGAATCAAGAAAAAAAAAAGCACTTGAGTATTACGTTCTCTCTCTGGTTCGAAAGATTTTTTCTCAAAACTAGTTATTTATGGTGATTTGAGTTTATGAATTCGAGAAGAACATTTTGAGCTTAAACCAGTAGACACAAGATCACGCAGCTGTTGGATGCAGTGTAGGATCCCGTCACGAAGCGGACTGCACCAGAGATTGATCTCCATGGAAGGGACTTTCGTGGACCTCTAAGTGCATAGATCTCCGACTTCACAATCCACTAAGTTCAAGGTAGATTGGGTACTTACATACCTTGTATTGTAACTCGGGTGAGATTGAACGTCTCCACCTTTGTACTTTGAAGTTGGGTTAGTGGATTGGACGGATCAGTGATCGTCCCCCAGATGTAGATACACATTGTATCGAACTAGGTAACCAAATCTTGTGTTGCATGTTTACCTTTCCGCACTTTTCTTTGTCTGTTAATATCTCTGATTGTCTATCTGTTTGATTATCTGTGTTATAGTTGCACGTCTTTTGTTGGACAAGAAAAGTTGGTGAAATCAGTTAGTTCACCATTTCACACAAAATTACATGTGGTATCAGAGCTTTTATGTCTAAACAATGACTTGATCCAAATGAGAAAGCTTTTTTGTTGTGTTTTGGTAATTCATCTTTGTGTTTTTCATCTATCTATTTGTGTTTCTCGCTGCTTGTGCTTTGGTTGGTCGTCTGAGTGTATCAGGATGGAGGCAAACACAAAACCCCCAGAATTGGATGGACACAACTATTCCTTCTGGAAAGCTCGCATGGAGATCTATCTCTAGGCTCAAGGAACAAGTATTTATCGAACCATCTTCACTGGATGGAAACCCCCTACTGTTAGAATGTTGATGGAACCACATCCGCAAAACCCATTGAGGAATGGACTGAGGCTGAAATAACTGCATCAGACCTCAACAACAAAGACCTGAATTCGATTGTTGGATCTTTGCATGAATCTGTCTTCACTCAAGTTACTGGCGTGAAAGAGGCAAAGAAAGCTTGGGAAATTCTTGAAGCCCGTTATGAGGGTACCAGCGATGTAAAGCAGTCTAAGCTTCAGATGGTTTTGTCAGAATTTGAGGCACTGAGGATGGATGAAGATGATAATATCTCTAACTTCCACAGTAGAATTCAGAGTCTGATGAATAGAGTTGCTGTTCTTGGTGAACCGTTTCAAGAAGATCGTGTTGTCAAGAAGATTCTAAGATCTCTACCCAAAAGATTCCGAATGAAAGTGACTACGATCCAAGAGAATGCTGAATGGGAAAAGAAAAGCGTAGGAGAATTGATGGGTAGTCTTCATACGTATGAACTTGAGGGTCTGGCAAATGACAATCCGAGTTCTAACAAGTGTGGAAAGTCAATGGCATTCATCATCAAAACTGAGCAAGAATCTGACTCTAAAGAAGTTGAAAATGAATCCTTAGCCCTTCTGACAAAGAACTTCAAGAAAATCTTAAAGGGATCCAAGCGTAGAAATCAGGGGCAGTTTAACCGAAATCAATCCAAGGGTGAAAGCTCAGCAAATCAGAAATCCGGTTCAACTTCCTCTTCGTAAAAAACTGATCAAAACCCTCGTCCAGAACAGACTAAGAACACGTCAAATTCTACAGGCAAAAACCTAAATAGGTCTGTTCAGTGCCGGGAATGTGAAGGTTTTGGGCACATACAATCAGATGTGCAACATACTTAAAGCGTAAGAAGTCGATGTCAGTTGCAACTCTGAGTAATGATGAAGAAGAAGATGCAGATCAAGTGTATGATGAAAATACTAGAAACTTTGTTGCCTTCTTCACTGCGACAGAGATCCAGCTAGATGATGCATTATGGGCCCTAAGGACCGCATTCAAGACTCCTATTGGTGTTTCCCCGTTTAAACTTGTGTTTGGGAAGTCATGTCATTTGCCGGTTGAGTATGAACACAAGGCATATTGGGCAGTTTCAAGGTTGAATTTGGAAGAGGACTCGGCAAGAGAGAAGAGGTTGTTACACTTGAATGAGCTTGAGGAGTTCCGGATGGATGCCTATGAGAATGCAAGGATCTACAAGGAAAGGACCAAGTATTTTCATGATAAGAGAATTTTGAGGAGGAACTTTGAACCGGGTGACCAAGTGTTACTATATAATTCAAGACTCAAGTTGTTTCCCGGTAAACTCAAGTCGAGGTGGTCGGGCCCTTTCCGAGTAGTGGAACATTACCCATCGGGCGCCGTTTCAATTGTGGCTAAGTCGGGAGATCCTTTTATGGTGAATGGACAAAGGTTGAAGCTCTTCAATGAGCCGGAATTCAAAGAAAAGGAGGCTAATGTGGTTTGGGATCTCTTCTATCCCTCATACACTTGAATACCAAAGGTCAAGTCGAGCTAGCGACGTTAAACGTAGCGCTTCATGGGAGGCACCCCATGTTATCTTTCATTTTATTGCACTTTACTTTCTTCTTTATTTTTCTTTACACTTTTATTTTTGATATATCATGCTCTCACTTGTGCTTATTGTGCTACCATTTCTCCCTTGTGCTTTATTTTCTTTTACATCGAGGACGATGTAATTTCTAAGTGTGGGGGGTGGACAAAATATTGGAAAATTTTGAAATTTTGAAACTTTTTGAAACCTTGCTTGGATGAGTCATTGTGCATAATGTTGGGTAAATTTCTCATCTTTGTTTGAAGTTGTGATCACTCCCTCTTTGTTGGTTTGTGGTTTGATTTGGTGGTGCTTGTTGCGATGCAATTTGTGATTGATGATTTGAGGTATAACACATGATTGATCTATTCTCTTGCCAATTGCCTTGTTAACCACTTAATAAATGAATAAATTTTTGATCTTGTGTGTTATGCTTTGCTAGTGAAGGCTTATGTGAGATTCCGGTCATGGTTGTTTTGCTAGAACTTGCCTCATTACTCTCCAAGTGAAGTCTAAAATTTGCATGTTTAGAAATGATTTAGGCCATTTTTGTTTAGCCCGAGCCTTTCAAGCCTACCCTTTACACATGTGTTTACCACTAGTTGTCCCCGTTGAGCCTTTTGTGTTTTTTTAATAAGTGCTAAGCACTTGTCCCTTCATTGTGATTGTTTTTCCTTGTGTTAACCCTCATCATTTAACCCTTAACCCCTAGCCAAAATATTTCCCTCCACCCTTGAGAGAATAGAGCATTTATTCTTTTTCTTTGAAGAGATCTTTATTGGAGCTTGTTTTGTTAACAATCCTCTTGATAATTTTGTCTAAGTGTGGGGGCATTGGTTCATGGAATAAGTTTGTTTATTGTTTTGGAAAAAAAATGAAAAAAATGATGTTGAGAAAATTGAGAAAAAAAAAAGTCATGAAAAAAGAGATGAAATGAGAAAAATGAAAAGAAAAGGAAGAAGAATAAAAGCTTGAAGCTTGATTCTAGTTTGTGTTGAAAGTTGTACTCAACCCCCACTACTTTAGAGTGTTGCTTTATGTTCCATTAAATTGCTCCTTAGTTTATAAATGTCATATCTCTTCTAGCCTCAACTGTGAATAAATGTGAAGTTCTCTCCTTTGTTTATTTCCATACCCCTTCTTTGTTAGCCATTTACCCTTAGCCCCATTACAAGCCAAATAAAGACCTATTTGATCTTAGCATGCAATCTTGGAGTTGAACTAGTGAGAGTATGAAGGGCAAGCCTATGGAATCTCATTCAAAACCAAGTTTTGCATAATCTCAACTTAGCATTTGTGCACACTTGATCATCACACACTTTAATAATTTTGGTGCATGGTTATTGGCTTGAGAATTGAACTTGTGTGGAAGGCTAAAATGATTCTTGAAACAAGTTGTCTTGTAGCAAGTTGGATTGTGGTTTGATAGGTTGTGCAAAGTGGGAGTGTGATCAATTTCATTGCTAGGATGGTGATTTATTTCTTGTTTTTGCTTGAGGACAAGCAAAGGTTTAAGTGTGGGGGAGTTGATAAGTGCTTATTTGTCTATATTTTTGCTCCTTTCACTAAGCCATTTTGTTTATAGATCATTCCAAATTTCATTAGATTAGGACTAATTTGTGTTATTTTGCAAGGAATTTGGTTTGAAAAGCTTTGGAAGCAAAAATGAATATTTTCATGCATTTTGAAGGACATTGGAGTCAAGTGGAGCATTTTGGATGCATTGGAGTCAATGGGAGTCAAGGGAAAGCTATGGAGATGGGCAAAACACTTCCAAGAAAGCCTAAGGGTGGTGCTTGCAATGGTCTTGGTCATTTGGGCAAACCAAAGCAAAAGAGAAGCAAAAGATCATGCAATTGCAATTCCCGACCTGCACGTCGACGTCATGGTTTTTGGACCATATCTCAAGCTAAAAACATCCAAATTACATGATTCTTGTCCCATTGCAAAGAAGACTCAAAGGGCTACAACTCATATTCAAACATCAAAGCCTAAAAAGGAAGCTACAATGGTCAAAATCATCCTTGAAGTTGAAGTTCCGAACTTACAGATTTCACCCGAAACTGACCACTGTTTGGTAATTTGATCATATCTCGGCCTAGGATTGTCCAAATTAAGTGATTCTTGCGCCATTTGAAAGAAGACTCGAAGATCTACAACTTTCATGAAGACACCGAAGCCTAATTCTGAAGAAAAAATGGTCAAAATTAGCCTGAAAGTCGAAGTTCTGTTGCAGATCAGCACTCGACGCGTCGAGAATTACTCTCGACGCGTTGAATCTTGGCAGAATGTCGCGATTTACATTCTGTAATTTCTCGACGCGTCAAGCAGCCCATCTCTGTTTCTTTTGACTGCGTTATAACTCATTTTTTGGAGAAAAAAGTCATGTTAGAACCCTAGATAGCAAGAACTCGTTTTCCTTTCATTTCCTTATCTTAGATTAGTCTAGTATTTCATCTCTAACTCTTCTACAAAGCTTGTAATCATGGATTGGAGTGAGATTCAACCACAAAATCTTCATCTTCAATAGAGAAGCTTCTTACTCTTCTTCTTAAGCTTTTGTGCAATGTTTATGATATTTTCTTGTGCTTTGTTGTTATTTATGCTTATGAAGTGTGAGTAGTTCGTTTTTGGGCTTGGATTAGGGTGATATTGCTAACCTAGATGCTAAATAGGTGATTATTGCATAAGGGGGAAGAACCCTAACCTAGGGTTCATTTGTTTGAGTGGGTTTTATGTTTAATCTTGCTAATATTTGGTACGTAACTCTTATTAGCTTGCTTTTGGATAGTTTTTCTCCACAATGAAAGTTGGGGGAAGAATTTAAGCCTCTCCTTTCTCTAAACCCATTTTCTTTCTATGAAAATAGGGAAGAATTGGGGGCCTAAATGCTTATGTGCTTTAAGAGCTAGGAATTGATACACCATGAAAGTGGGGCAATCCTTGCTCTAATCCTTGTTCTTTAGCTTATGAAAATGGCTTTAAGCTAGGATTTTTATGTGCTTTGCCCTTATGTTCCCTTGGTTAATGTTCTCCCCTAATCCCTAAGTTGTTAAAGCATCTAGAAGGCAACATCCCCTAATTTTAGCCCATCTTTTATCATTGTGATTACTTGTGTTTAAATTGCATTGTCTTAACTAGATTTTTAGCCTTTAATTGTTGACATTACCCAACCATGAATTTGAATTTGCTTGGATTCTTGTGGGTTCCAATACTTTGGTGCCTAGAACTTTAGTTGTCACTCAAGTACGTGCCATAGTCCCAATCCTTTGCGGAACGACAATTTACACCCGTATACTCACCACCTCTTTCCCGTACATCACCTTCTATAGAGATCAAAGATTAGAAAACTTCCAAGATAAGTTCATTGCTCATTTCAAGAGACAAATCTGGGTCAGAAAGTCAGATGTCCTGTGTTATCCTACAATTGTTCTATCAGCTGCAATGACGGAAACCATATGGTATTTTGATAGTGGTTGTTCGAGGCACATGACTGGAAATTCAAAATATCTAACAGCCATTCAATCAAATAATGGATCAGTAACATTTGGCGATGGTCAAAGAGGCAAGATAATTGGCAAAGGCATTCTGAATGTTCCAGGTTTGCTACATTTGGAGGATGTTCTACTTGTAACTGGGTTGCGTCCGAATCTCATCAGCATAAGTCAGCTGTGTGATCAAAACTGGAATGTCTGTTTCAATCGAGACTGTTGCAGTGTTCGCGACAAGTCAGATCAAGTCGTCATGGAAGGTACTCGTTCTTCTGATAACTGTTACATTTTAACAAATGATACTACTTGTTTTAGGTCAAAGTTAGAAGAGTTCAAACTGTGGCATCGACGATTGGGTCACATGAACTATCGTGACATGGATAAGCTGATCAAACTTGATGAGGTACGAGGAGTACCAAAGCTAAGTATAAATCACAAAGGAGTATGTAGTGCATGTGCTATGGGGAAGCAAACCAGAGCTCCTCACAAAGTAGTAAAGATCATTGCAACTGACAAATGTTTGGAACTGGTTCATATTGATCTAATGGGACCGACACAAACAGAAAGTATTGGTGGTAAGAAGTATATATATTTGTTTGTGTTGATGATTTTTCACGTTTCTGTTGGATATCCTTTCTAAGAGAAAAATCAGAGGCATTTGGAGCATTCAAAACTTTATATGTAAGATTGCAAAAAAGAGAAAGATGAGCCAATAGTCAAAATCCTACGTCTCAGAAGTGATCATGGGAAGGAATTTGAAAACTCATCTTACTCAGACTACTACTCATAAAATGGCATAGTACATGAGTTCTCTGCCCCAAGAATGGCTCAACAGAACAGAATTGTTGAAAGGAAGAATCAAACGTTAGAAGGAATGTCTAGGGTCATGCTGAACACATCACGTCCGCCACAGCGCTTCTGGGCTGAAGCAATGCACACTGCATGTCACACAATTAATCGAATTTATCTAAAGTCTGGTACAACTATGACTCCATACGAAATATGGAAAGGTAAAAAACCTAATTTGAAATATTTCCATATTTTTGGTACTAAATGTTTCATTCTGATTCACCGAGAACAAAGAGGAAAGTTTGAACCTAAGAGCGACGAGGGAGTATTCCTTGGATACTCACCAAACAGTTGAGCTTATAGGGTGTACAACAGGAGAACTCAAACAATCATGGAGTCAGTAAATGTTATTGTAGATGATGAAACAGATGAACCTGATGCCATAACAATGATAGACATATTTTTATGCCATAACAGTGGGGACAATGTTGATAATAAGTGTGGGGGAGGGTATTTAGTTTTATTATTTGTTTGCTTATGTCAAAATATATGTTGGCGTCGTTACCAGGAAAGTTTTTCTTGTTTATTTTGTGTTTATTTATTTATTTGTTTTTTTTTCTCATTAATTTGTCCCAAACAAAAAAAAAAAATCTTTTGTTTCATTACCATTACATAATTACTGCAATACCTTTCGTAGTTTATGCTTATAACTCGATCTGCTAATCAAGAAATCTTACCGTACGATTCAGAAATTGAAAGAACTATACACAGGTAGAGGAAACAAGCTTTGAGGAAAGTGGAGAATAGTGATCTGGCTACCGATCCCCAATCTTCCACCAATTCTGATTTAGAAGATGAACCCATGGCTTAAAATCGGACCTTAAAAGAGCTTGGAGCTCCAAATTTAGATCAGCAACCTTTATGCATCACTTTTCCTGCTCTAGATGCTAATGTGCAATTCGAATTAAAATCTGGATTAATTCATCTTTTGCCTTCTTTTCATGGACTTGCAGGTGAAGATCCGCACAAGCACTTAATGGAATTCCATGTAGTGTGTTCAAGTATGAAACCCACAGGGGTTACTGAAGAACAAATCAAGTTGAGAGTCTTCCCCTTTTCTTTAAAAGATTCAGCGAAGGATTGGCTATACTATCTACCTTCAGGGAGCATCACCACATGGAATAACTTGAAGACAGTGTTCCTTGAAAAATATTTCCCAGCTTCAAGGGCGGCCAAAATTAGAAAGGAAATATGTGGTATAAGGCAAAACAATAGAGAGTCATTGTATGTATATTGGGAGCGATTCAAAAAGCTTTGTGCAAGTTGCCCACACCATCAAATCAGTGATCAATTACTCATTCAGTACTTTTATGAAGGACTTTTTCCAATGGATAGAAGCATGATTGATGCCGCGAGCAGTGGTGCTTTAGTTGACAAGACACCAGACGCTGCAAGAACTCTAATTGCAAACATGGCTGCAAATTCTCAACAGTTTGGCAATAGACTTTTCCAACCGTCTAAGCAAGTGAATGAGGTAAATATTTCTGCTCTTGAAGAACAAATTTCTGGTTTAACTACTCTTGTTCGTCAATTAGCAGTAGGCAATATGCAAACTGTAAAAGCATGTGGAATCTGTTCAGTAGTTGGCCCAACTCTTCAAAAAGAACATGTTGAACAAGTCAACATGGCTGGAGGTTTTCCTGGACAACCTCAAGGTAAGTATGATCCGTTTTCCAATACATATAATCCTGGATGGAGGGATCACCCGAACCTTAGCTATGGGAACTCACAAGGGAACCAGTTTGTTCAGAATCGTTTCAATTTTCAACAGTATAGACAACCGTTTCCTTCAAGACAACAATCAGTCCAAAGCTCTAGCTCAGGTATGAATCTCAAAGATATTGTTAAATCTCTTGCTACTAACACTTTGCAGTTTCAACAAGAGACTCAACAATTCCAACAAGAGACAAGATCAAGTATTCAAGAAACAAGGGCTAGTATTCAAAACTTGGAAAGACAAATGGGCCTACTAGCAACTACGGTAAGTCGGTTGGCAGCACAGAGTTCTGGCAAATTACCCTCTCAAACGATTGTTAATCCTAAAGAGAATGTAAGTGCAATTACTGTGAGAAGTATATCGCAGGAAAAGAATGTTGATTTAAACAAGGAAATAAGTGCAGGTAACATTGCCAACAATAAAGAGAAGTCCCATGGTAAGCTTTCTTCTTTTTCTGATTATGAACCAGTACCCCCATTTCCACAAGCTCTTTTAGAACCAATAAGAGGAAACTGAAATAATGATTTGTATGAGACATTTCGTGAATGTGAGGCTAATAAACCATTGTTAGACTCTATGAAAAATGTAACACCCCTAAAATTTAAAACTTTGAATACTTATGAAATAAAGGCAATACTATCATTAATCCCAAAACAGAGCGTTACTAAACATAAGTGTTTGGGGTGTTATGCCACATCTGAGCTGGAGAACTCAGATGCACAGGCTACACTAACTAAATATCCTCAAAACAGTGTCATTACATCATCATGGCACGTAGGCCGATAATGAAACTAACTATCTAAGCCTCGGGTCCTCTAGCGCGCTCAAGAGCTACTCATCTGTGCCTGAAAGCCAAATATATCTGTTCAGCGAATAATGCTGGTAACCCACTCCAACGCGTTAAAATACAATATAGGTATGTATGTATATATATATATATATATATATATATATATATATATATATATATATATATATATATATATATATATATATATATATATATATATATATATATATATATATATATATATATATATATATATATATATATATTGAAAAATATATGGTGCTTCATTAAAAATAGGCCGAAATAATGTCAGGCGGGAGAAGATCCCAATACATAGCAGCAGATTGCTGGTAAGCCGTAGTAGCTAAAGCATGAGCTAAATAATTGTCTAATCTAGGAATAAAATGAAACGAACAAGATTGAAATAAAGATGCGATAAGCCTGCAGCTGTCAATGGCATAGCCTAGGTAAGTGCGCAGCACAACGGTTGGTGTAGTAAGATAACGGTGTAGTGTCAAACAATCTGTATATATCTCAACATTCTGTTCTCCCCGATCCTTCAACCATGATAGAGCCTCCTTACATGCCAACGCCTCAGCCATAAGTGGCGAGGAGCAATTCAGGAGTGGTCCGCCATAAGCCGAAACGTATCCCCCATTCGTGTCGAGTAAAACTGCCCCAACCGCGGCTTGGCCTGTTTCTTGCATAAAACCCGCATCGACTCGACAGATCCTCCTTGGCGGCCCATGTGATGGTTCGACAGTGTGCAGTTCGGTACCGTGCAGCTCGGCCTCCTCTTGGTATTAAAGGTGATTCGGTTGGCAGCGGAGTGGCTCGGGCAGCAGGTGCAGGATGCGCCCGTGTCCACGCAAGCTTGGCAGCGGCGGCGGTGTTGAGCACGGTCACCGGGCGTGGCAGTGTTGCTTCCCAAACCGCCCCATTCCTTGCTCTCCAAATATTGTATAGAATCGATGTTGCATATAACATCCCATCAGAGTCTAGAACATTTAGGAGTTCACCAAACCAAACATGAAAAATATTTGTGGCTATATTGGGAATTGTAAGGTTGGATTGTTCCCAAATGTTTTTTGCAAACTCACACAACACTAAGGCATGCATTGTGTCTTCTTGAGATATTCCACACATGGCACAACGTGGATCCACATCCACCCTCTTTATAAGTAAATTAGTAGTGGTAGGCAATATATCACTAATGGCTCTCTAGAGAAACATTCTCCATTCTGGGGGATCTTGAGCTTCCATAGGGCTAACCATTTTGCAAATGTCCCATTATCCCCCTGATAATTCCCAACTATTAGCCTGTATCCACTTTTAACAGAATACACACCTCTTGGGTCTCCATGCCAATACCAGGTATCATCGTAATCCGGGGAAACAGGTATTCTCATAATATTCACCACATCAGTAGGTTGAAATAAATCTGTTAGGATTGAAGGATCCCATGTACCAGTTTGTTGATCAATCAATCCTGCCACTCTGGCTTCCTGCAGCTGTGTTGGCATTTCTGTTTGTATCATAGGGTCTTGATCATCCTGTAACCAGGGGTGAGTCCATATGAGTGTAGACTCCCCGTTACCAATTCTGCGCCTTACCCCACTACAAACTATACTCTTTGCTGCCATAATACTTCGCCAGTAGAAACTGGGATTGTTTCCTACCTGTGCATCAAAAAAAGATCCTTTGGGAAAATAACGGGCCTTATACACACGAGTCACTAGGGATTCGGGTTTAGTCAGCCTCCGCCATGCCTGTTTCCCCAGCATTGCTAGATTAAAAGCACGCAAATCTTTAAAACCCAACCCTCCATACTTCTTGGGGATACACAATTTATCACATGCCTTCCAATGTATTCGCCTGTCAGTCCCAGAGTCCCACCAATATCGATTCATAGTTCTCTCTATTGCCGTACACACTGATATAGGTAGCAAAAAAACACTCATTGAAAACGTAGGCATAGATTGTGCTACAGTTTTCAACAGAATCTCCTTACCCGCCTGCGACAGCAGTCTTTTATTCCATGATCCAATCCTTTGGCGGATTTTATCCTCGATATATGCAAAAGCTGCTTTCTTGTGTCTTCCAACAAAAGAGGGGAGTCCCAAATACTTGCCAAAATTCGGGGCCTGCGTCACTCCCAAAACCTGAGCCACATTTTCCCTATCAACATTACTTGTATTTCTACTATAGCATATGCTTGACTTGTGATAGTTAACTGCCTGCCCAGACAGATCCTCATACACTGATAGGCACCTTTTAATTTCATTTGCTTCCTACATATTAGCCTTAAAAAATAAAAGGATGTCATCTGCAAAAAATAAATGAGAGATTGGGGGAGCACCTCTCGCTACCCTGCATCCATGTATTGACCCCACACTATGTGTCTGCTGTAGTAATAGGGACAGACCCTCTGCACAAATAATAAATAGATATGGGGACAACGGATCCCCTTGCCTTAAACCACGTGTGGGTACAATAGGATCACATCTTGAGCCATTCACCAGAACATTGTAGGAAACTGAGGTTACACACTTCATAATCAATTCCACCCATCCACCATGAAACCCCAAAGCCAGCATCATTTTACGAAGGAAAGACCATTCCGTACGATCATATGCATTCGCCATGTCCAGTTTGAGAGCACTCCATCCCCCCATTCTACACTGTTTCCTGTTCAAAAAATGTCCCACTTCCGCGGCTAATAAGATATTATCCATTATCAGTCTATCCGGGATAAAAGCACTTTGTGACTCCGATATTATTTCCTCCATTAATGGCTTCATTCTGTTAGATAACATTTTTGCCATAATTCTATAAACCACATTACTAAGAGCTATAGGGCGCAAGTCAGTCACAAATTCAGGGGTGTTTTTCTTAGGGATCAAAACAACACCAGTATCAGTCAAACCAGGCGGGAAATCACAGGATTCAATACAATTTATTATGAAGCTCGCCACATCCCCCTACCACATCCCAAAAATGTTGATAGAAGGCCGGATTCATTCCATCCGAGCCCGGTGCCTTATCCGGAAACATTGCAAACAGTGCACTCTTAACCTCCTCCAAATCAAAGGGTCGCAGCAATGACTCATTCTGTGCCTGAGTGACTCGCAGAATAATCCCCTCAAAAAACCCCTCCCCAGTTCCCGGAGTTCCAGAACAGAAAATACGATTGTAATATTGCAAAATAAAATTTTTCATAGGCTCCCCCTCCACCCAATCCTCATTATCATTCATTAATCTAGAAATAGTATTCTTCTTTTTTCGGTGAGAGGCATACCTGTGAAAAAACTTTGTCGCATCAGCCTCCTTAAGCCAGTGTTGCTTGGCTCTCTGCCTCCAGTAGGCATCCTCCTGAGCTTCGGTGCAGCTTAGCAGCTGTTCTAAGCGCTGGAACTCTGCAAGCGAGGCCGGGTCGGTACGCCCCCTCAGTCGCTGTTGTTCTCTTGTCAATTCATTAATCTGTTTTCCGTACCTGTGATACCTGTCTCCACCCCATCGTGTTAACCGGTTCCCGCAGTACTGAATACAGTTCTGTAAACCCTGCCCCCTTCCTCCTGCCAGGACTGCTCAACCACATTCATGCACCCCTCATCATGCAACCATGTCATCTCAAAACGGTAACCCCTCCTACCAGGCCCACTCCTCCCAAAGGACTCATGGATTCCCAGAAAGAGAGCCGAATGATCAGATTTTCGGGTCCTCAGATTCATAACCGTGGCCCCTGTTACCATGCTCCGCCGCTCATTTTTTACCAGAACCTTATCAAGCCTCTCCTCCATCCAGTTTACTGTCCCCTTCCCTTTCTCCCAAGTGTACGGATATCCATTCATAGGCATCTGAGCAAGCCCACAGTCCTCAATAGCTTCCCCAAAACCGCGTAGGAGGCTATTCGGATGCAAATTCCCCCTCTCTTCTCATATTGATATAGCAAATCATTAAAATCCCCTATAACAACCCATGGGAGGTTCGACTTGCCCGATAATGTTCTCAAGAGATCCCATGATTCAGCGCGCCTTGTTCGTTCGGGAAAACCATAATAACCCGTCATTCGCCACCCTGGAAAGCCAGTAATAGTTACCTCAACATCAACATAGTTCGTTGAGTAACTTAGCAGCCGCGCCGTACTATTCTTTTTCCACAATAGTGCTAAACCACCACTTAATCCATCGCTATCAACATAAAATAGCCCCTCATAACCGATTTTGACACGAATCCGCTCTGCGTGATCGCGTCCTACCTTAGTCTCCATCAGAAATACAAAGTCAGGTTGCTTACGGGACACCATGTCCACAATCTCACGAACTGTCCGTGGATTACTCAAGCCACGGCAGTTCCAACTGAGGGTACTCATTGATCCGGGCGGGTCTGGGAACCAGATCCCGCCTGCTGCAAGTTTTTTGAAAGCTCGGCCATAACAATATCCCCTCCTTCATATGTCCGTCCCCCATCACTCACCTCCTCCCGGCGCCGCTTGGCAACCGCAACCAATTCCGCCTCTACGGCATCATTAGCCCGACTCCCAACAACCGGAGACCGCCCCACGGCCACGTGGTCGACCTGCAACTTCCACGCCGCTGCGTGCCGTCCCGAAGGCAACAGCCAACTATCGCCCACCGGCCTAGGACCATGACTCCCCCCCGCACGCAATTCCAGGCCATACAAATACTCCTCCACCGGCATCCTCGAATCCCTCGCACCACGGAAAAATTGATACGAATGTCCCAGCATCCCACAAAAATAACAATATGTATGTAGTCGTTCATACTTGAACGTGACCCATCAACTTGTCTTATCCCGCTTAATAAAATTCATTCGTCTTTTCAAGGGCTTATCAACAGACAACGAAACCCTAATCCGGTGAAACATCTTCCATGGGACATTGTCGAAACGATCATCACTCTTAACAAAACTCCCCAAGAAATTTCCAATCTGTTCCAATATCCGACTGGACGAATATCCCTTCGGCAGTCCATGCAGTTGGACCCATAAATCCACCGAATCCAATACCACATCCACCGGCTTCACTCCGTCAAGGACTTGCTTACACACCAGAGTGCTATTATCAAAGGACCAGGGCTCCTCATTCAGAACACGTTCCATGTCTGTTACATGATGGAAAACAAACAGGAATCGGCCCGGTTCTACCTCCGTAGCCTCAACACCACTCACCGGTTGTCATACCGATGCCAAGACCTGACTCATAAACTCCAACCTGACTAGCTTCCGTGTCAAGAATCTCCCCACAATGCCCTACCTCTCCTCCACGACGCCGCCTGCCGCGTCGCCCTCCGTCCCCTCATCCGGCATAAATGCCGCTGCCTCCTCCTCCAAAACAATATCTGCCCATCTGGCTGTAAGACCCTCGACCTCCGGTTCCACAGTCGACGAGGCCATCTCGCATGCACGCCTGAAGTCGTACGCTGTATGCTGTAAATCGATAATCGGATAAAACCGCAGGTAATCATCGATGAACCGACACGATGACCTAGAGAAACCCTAGGTAGAGATATATATATATATATATATATATATATATATATATATATATATATATATATATATATATATATATGAAAATCATTTTGAAGCCGGAAGATATATATACTTAGGAGACTCTAATTTAAAACCGAGAATAGACTCAACAAGTAAGGATAAGCACATTTGACAGTCATGATCATGCATATAAAGATACTAGCATACACCCTAAGGCCACACATCAACATATCAGTATTCAATCATTATCTCAACACATAAGCACACTTTGGTGGTGCCGCAGGACCAATCACATGCCCATACATGAGGGTCAGCGCATATAGCGCTAACATGGCCCCGAAGCACCCTGCCTCGTACCGCAGCACGAAGGGGTTGATCGCAACCAACCAATGAACTGCAGCTCATCATAACGTTTGATCGCAACCAAACGGTGGACCGCAGCCCAAATAGTGTGTATTTCTGATCGCAACCAGATTATGAACCGCAACTCATTTATAACGTTTGATCGACCCCAAACGGTGGACCGCAGCCCTATATATATTTATATACCTGACCGATCGCAACCGGCCTGGTTAACAGCCGATGGTTCTCAACCTATCCAACTGCCCGTATAGCCAATTGATCGCAACCAATTGGGGTATCATGCACACATAACACATAACAAGCACATGCAACCCACATTAGCACATAAGGAATGGGGAAAACATATAAATAAAACTTATGCATGGTCAACCACATACTATGAATAGTCCTAAGGGGTTCGTACATCTTTCACCTAGGCCAACGGGTTACCAATTCAACTAGCATGCAATACACGAGACTCTTTTATCCTACGAACGGTACCCGAAACATCAAACTAGACTCAGGCACGACAAACGGGGTCAGATTGGACACCACGGGGCACGGGGAAACATCAAACGGGAAAAACCACCAATCCACACTGGGATTTCCAGCGGGTGGCCGGCGGATGGAGGACCACCCGCCGGCGGCGCCACAATGGGCAGCGGGTGCCCGGCGTGCAGTCTCCTGCCCGCTTCCGGCGGCCCTATTTGGGGCAGCGGGTAGGTGGCAGGTTCCCCTACCCCCCACTGACTCTTTTGTAATATTTTAGTCCCGGGATCTTTCGTGGAACCCGAAACCATGTCCAGACACATTTAAACATAAACGACAACACCACGTAATCAAGCAATGGATTAAAACCAAGAATCATGTTAAATACATCCTAACATGATTTCTAAACATAAACAAGACTCAATACCCGAACATACAAAATCCCACCCAAATATACCAAGAATATCACAATACGAAATCCATGATTTAACCTAGGGCTCTAATTATATTTAAATCACAATATCATAACTTTATCTTTAAAATCAAGAACATCAAGAATATCAAGATCAACACACAATTATCAAGATTCCCTCATAATCATCAAGATTATCAAGATCAACACATAAGATCATCTCATAAACGTCAAGATTATATCATAATCATCATAAAAGCTTTATCAAGACACAAACATAGAATTGCATATCAATGGAGCCAAAGAAGAAGATTATAGCAAGGAAAATAGGTTTTGTTGAGCCATGGGTTACCTCTTAGCCTTAATTAGAATCCTTGGCTACTAAGGTTCTTTCTCTAAGATCTCCTCTTCTTGATTTCTCCTACGTTTGGTGATAGGGGAATTCTTGGGAATTCTTGTGTGGTGGAATCTATTGGGGTGTGAATTCTAGGTGCCTCCTATGTCCTTATATATATCTAAGAGTCCTAATTAGGGTCTGAATGGTAGGGATTTACTAATTCTATTCCTTATAGGACTTAAGGGTTTGGTTTAGGGATAAGGGTCCATGGTCTATGGTGGACCCTTCCTAATTAATTAAGGGGATTTAATTCTCTTTTTAGGGTAAGTAATTAAATAATTAGTTTGGGTTAGAGGCTGTAACACGGGGTGTTACAAAAAAAATTACCTCGCTATGCGAATTTTCTAAAAGAGTTATGCACTTTGAAAAAGAAACAAAATAAAGAAAGAGTTGAGGAAGTGAAAGTGCAAGAGAATGTCTCTATGGCTAGTCAAAGCAATCTTCCTAAGAAGTGCAAAGACCCAGGTATGTTTACTATTCCATGCATGATAAGTGGGGTGAAAGTTGAAAATGCTATGTTAAATTTAGGAGTTTCTATTAATGTCATGCCATATTCTGTTTATAATTCTTTAAATCTTGGACCTCTGAATAAAACTAGTGTTGTAATTCAACTGGCTAATGGATCTACTACATTTCCTAGGGGTGTGATTGAGGATTTGCTTGTTGAAGTTAATAACTTGGTTTTTCCTGCTGAATTTTATGTGCTTGATATGGAAAATAATAATAAAATTTCTCATATTTTGTTAGGAAGACCATTTTTAAAAACTGCAAAAATTAAAATTGATATTCATAGTGGCATGCTTACTATGGAGTTTAATGGTAAATTTGTGATTTTTAATATTTATGATACCCTAAAATCTCCTAGTTATGATAATTTTGCAATTTTTGTTGATTCTTTGAAGTTTGTTAAATTTGATGAAATTGCTTCTAATGAAAATAAAGAAGAAAAAAATAATAAATCATCTTTGAGTACTAATTTGCAAGATGAGACTATTTCTTTGATTAATCGTAATCATCGAAGGTACTCAAAAAGACGATGGAAATTTTAAGCAATATCATAAGTCGAGCCAACGACGATAAACAAAGGCACTGTTTGGGAGGCAACCTAAGGTGTGTTTGTTCCATTTTTTTTAGGAAATTTCAATTTTGGTCATACGACTATAGGGGTCTTGTTAATTTCAGTCCTTGACTTTTAAAAGTGTCAATTTAGTACCTTAACTATGTAATTTTTGTCAATTGTGGTCACTCCGGCCAAATTGCCGGCCAAATTTCGCAGGAAAATTTTAATTGTTAAAATAATAATGAGGGTATTTTGATCATTTCACGTCTCTTTTCTTCTTCCCATGCGAGTCCATCACTTCCTCTCCCGTTTCCAGTGAATGCAATGACATAAGATGATGGGGAAAGGAGGCTTATGATATTAAAGATGGTTTAGAGGGAGAAAGAACACCGGAAACGGGAGAGAAAGAGATGGACTCGCCGGAGAAGAAGAAAAGAGGCTTGAAACGACCAAAATACCCTCATTATTTTAACTATTAAAATTTTTCGGCAAAATTTGACCAGCAATTTGGCCGGAGTGACTAAAATTGACAAAAATTGCATAGTTAAGGTACTAAATTGACATTTTTAAAGTCAGGGACTGAAATTAACAAGACCCCTATTGTCATATGACCAAAATTGAAATTTCTTCCATTCTTTTTCTTTTATTCACTATTCATATTTAATTTCCTCTTCTTTTATTCAACATTGGGGACAATGTTGATAATAAGTGTGGGGGGAGGGGATTTAGTTTTATTATTTGTTTGATTATGTCAAAATTTAAAAAAAAAAATTAAAAATAGTATTTTACTAGTATTTTATGCAAAAGAAGTATTATTTTGAAAAGTTATTATATTTTTCCTTTCTTGGAATTCATAACATGATTGAATAAATAGTTTGGCAAGTTGTGAATAGTTTGTTAGCATTTCCTATTTGATATGTAGTGGCTATATTAAGTAAGCAATAAACCTGTGAGTGTTTTGAGCCATGGACTGACACTTCGGTCTTATTTTCTTTCTATTGTGTGATTTCTTCCATAATTTTGTTTCTCTAGAACTTGCCTTGATTCTCTTTTAAAACTAATTAGACCATGCATGATTCAAGTGTGATTAAGGCCATTATTTGATTTTGAGCCTCACTAGCCAAATAACCGGTTTTCCCTATGATTTATTTTCCTTTGTTAACCCACTTTGAGCTTTATGGCCATTCTTTTCTTTATTTTGCACCACATTACAAACATTTTATATCTAAAAATAATGCCTTGACCCAACTGAATAACTAGTGGAGCAAATTTTGAATTATTCTTGTAATCTGCGTGGGGTTGTGAAGAATAAGTGTGGGGGAGATCACGTACTTTTGTTAATTTGATTGAGAGTGAGGCGAGTTGTATCTTCATTACCAATTTGTCGTTGGTCTTTTATGAAAAAGAAAATGAAGACAGTTCATGATCCAAAAAAAAAAGTATGAAGGATTGAAAAAATTAAGAAATGAGAGAGACGATGAATGTATGTTGAAAAAGAAAAAAAAATGCTGCTGAAAATTTATATGAAAAATGAGAAAGAATCAGCAATTAGTTTTGAGTTGAAGTTACCTCTAAATAAATGAAGCAAGGGGAAGTTCTAGTCATATTGAGGAAGAATTCTATATTTTTAAGAATGATAGTCATGTTGAAGCCTCAATAGATTGTGTTTTTGAATGGAAATTGAGGGTGTTGGATTATTTGTATTTATTTGCTCCTCTAGTTTGAAGCTTTTGCTTAAGCTACTTTCCTAAATATTCCCTACCTTGACCCTAACCCCATCACAACCTGTGAAAAGTCCTTATGATTTGTGTCATGCATGACTCTTGTAGTGGTGATTGAGAAGATATGCAAGCCTATGGTAGAGCAGTTTTATATGAATTAACTTGAGTGAAATTTATACCCATCAAACACTTGAGTGATGAGTGATATTCCTGTGAGAGCTTACTTATTTAGTTCTCTCAGTTTTCAGACAGGGGTGCTAACTTATTAATTGCAGGGTGCTTCAGATTGTTGTTCATGATGTGTTTTAGGAATTTCATAATTTTAATTTACTTCGCAAATAATATTTTTGCTTGGGGACAAGCAAACGTTTTAGTGTGGGGGAAACAACATCTGAGTCGATGACTGAGTCACCATCAGTCATACAGCAGAAACCAGCAGATGAATCGAAGGAAGCAGACGAGTCACCTGTCTTTGATGATCCACCAAATGAAGATGACGATTCTGAGGCATACCAGCCTCTATTTGATCGTGACAAAAGGGATAAGTCAACCAGAATTCAAAAGAGTTATCCATCAGTCAACATCATTGGAGATCCGACAGTTGGAATTCGCACAAGGAGCAAAGTAAGGAATAATCTGATCGAGTTGGTTGGATACTCATGCTACACTTCGAAGATTGAACCCAAGAATGTTAAAGAAGCCCTTCAAGATGAAAATTGAGTTAAGGCTATGTAAAAGGAGCTTCATCAGTTTGAAAGGAATCATGTTTGGGACTTGGTTCCTAAGCCAGTTGATGTGAATATAATAGGAACAAAATGGATTTTCAAGAATAAGACAGATGAAGCGGGAAATGTTGCAGGGAATAAGGCAAGACTTATAGCTCAAGGTTATACTCAGACAGAGGGAATTGATTATGATGAAACATTTGCACCAGTGGCAAGACTGGAATCAATCAGGATTCTCTTAGCAATTGCATGCATACTGGGGTTCACACTGTTCTAGATGGGCGTTAAGACAGTCTTCCTTAATAGCTACCTAAATGAAGACATCTATGTGGCTCAACCTAAAGGGTTCGAAGACTTGAAGTATCCAGATCATGTATAGAAGTTGAGAAAAGCTCTATATGGACTGAAACAGACTCCAAAAGCATGGTATGAACGCCTGACACAGTCCACAGTATCTTCTACAACAGGGGTATGATCGAGGAAATGTACAATAGCGCAACAATCATATATATATATATATATATATATATATATATATATATATATATATATATATATATATATATATATATATATATATATATATATATATAGGATTATATTCAAATACAAACAGTCCTTAAAATAAAAACGTGTGGACTAATTAACACCGTTTGATTTCAGATTTGGATGGTTAGGATTGTGTTTTGTTTTTTTCGCTTGTTTTAATTAATCTTCAGTTTTTATTCTAAGCGTGGGGGTAGTTTAGTGATTTCATTGGTGTGTAAACTAGGCTGATCCGATTTTCACTCCACACACGCCTAGTGTTATTCTTGGTCGTCCGTAGAGCTCCCTCTCCATCCGCGCACTTTGCCGTTCGATCTTCGCATCTGGTGGTCTTCATTCTCCATCGTCGTCGTATACTAATCAATGACTATCGGTGGGGACCGCAATAGAGGCAAGCGCCGGGAACCACCTAATCCGGGTGTCGGGCGAGGTAAAAATTTTCCCCCCTTTTGGCGTTTTCCGTTTTCTTGTTTTTTTTTTTTTTTTTTTTTTTTTTTGTCTGTGTTGTCGTTTTCTTTGGTGGTATGCATGCTCCTCATAGTCGAATTTCTGGGTTAGGGGTTGATGGGTGGCCGGATTTAGCCGGATTTTGTATCGCTAGGTTTTTGTTTTTTTGGGGGTTTTCAAAAAATGACGTTTAGGTGTTTCAGTAGGGGTATATTTTTGTTGATTTTTCTTGAAAAATTTTAGATTAATTTCGGTCTTGAGGGCGGTTGTTTGCCATTTTCGGATGATAGTATATGTGCCTGTGTGTATACGATATATTTATTTTAATCCTCAAAGGATGTTTTCTCCCTTCTACATGCTGACGATTTCCCCTAATCTTCAATATCAATGTTCCTTTAGAAGTGCAGTACGGCATAGTACTGGTATATATTTGCTGTCTTTTTTGGTCCATGCTATATATTTGTTGTGCTTTCTTGTCCATGATTTAACAATATAATGAATGAGTTTTTTTTTTTTCAATGATATATATGTATGTATTATGTGTTTGATGTATATGTATGTATTATCTTAGGACATGGTTTTGTGTTCTTGTTGTTTTTGTTTCTAAATCGCCAGTCCTATATGTAATATACCATCATATCGGGGGTTGGGGGGTGTTGCATGTTTCCTCACTCGTTTTATTTGCTGTTTTCTGTCCGTTTCGGCGGCTACCTGCAGCTCAACTTTGTGGTGGTGGCTGGGTTGTTATTATTATTATTATTATTATTATTATTATTATTATTATTATTATTATTATTATTATTATTATTATTATTATTATTATTATTATTATTATTATTATTATTATTATTTTCTGGAGTTAATCGTCGGGGTTGAGGGATGGTACAACTGGATTGTGCATTAATTGGGTATTCTAGGCAGTTTAGTGGGTTGGTGTTTGCTTAGCATGGTACCTCGGTCGTCGCTTCTTCGTGAAAAGTATGAACTACACATCTATGACAAATAATCACTTATAGTATTAGTGGTGGCATCTTGGCATGACAGGTGTGAAAGATAGCATATTTGTGTCCTTTATTTTGGTTGTTTAGCTGATTTGTGAGTGGCAGTTTACATACTCCAGACATTTGAATTTTCATAGTAAATCCTAATATAAGTATAGGGCAGACAAACCATGGGGGTATTCTTCTCATTGATTAGTACGGAGTACTACATTAATGCATAATTGTACACCCTCTTCCCCCAAGCTCAAAATCCTAATACCACATTGCTCTATAAATTAAAACTATTCCATATGCACACATACACAAGCAATCAAAATAGTACGTATAGTTTTCTAGAAAATCATCAATCAATGAGCAGATCAAGAAAACTCTTAATCATTAATTTCTTTTTATGATGGGTGTTTTGTGTTCGTGTTTTGGGTGGTTGCAATGTGCATTCGTGTGTGGTGGTCTGTGTTTGGGAGGAATGGGGTATGGCTTTGGATAGGGGAGGCTAGTAGTGTGCATTCGTGTATGGTAATGAGTGCACTGGTGTCCTACTTTGTCTTGGTTCTTTTCTGGTGAACGTCTTGTTGCCTTGTTTGCTGTGTGTGTGCATTGCAGTTGTTTTTTCTGTGTAGTCTAGTGCATTGATTTGTATTCATTGATTCAGGGCTTGTGTGGTTTATTGTTGGTGTTTATTCCTACTTTTTCTGTCTTTATTGTCGTTGTAGTGTGTGTTGGGTGTTGCCAAGTTTTGTTTTGTGATTTATTTTAGTGATGGTTGCTCTTTGCAACCTTTATTTCATATGTGTGCACAACTACGTAATACGTCGATTAGTTGTGTACACGGCTTGGTGGATATTGTGCATTATTGTCCGATGCTGTGGTTTGGGGGGGTGGGTTGTTTTCTTTTCGGTTGTCCATTTGTTGCAGGTAAGAAGTCCAAGGTGTGTGAACCAGATGGAGGGTTGCATTCTGATGGTGATGATGATTTTGTTTCCCCACCTTTGGCGTTTCTAGCAGGGCTGCAACAAGACCCGTTGGTGAATGCCCATGACTATGAGCTTACTTCAAAAGAGGATGGGAAGTTTCCTAAGGTGAAGACTAGGGTGCCGTCTTCTGTCTTGGATGAGGCGCTTACTAAGTTCATGTTCGTTGCATAGAACCATAATGTTTTTTTTTTTTTTCAATTGTGTTTGTGTTGAATTTGCATGAATGTTCTGAGACCATTATGGGACTACAATATCATAGAGTTGTGCCAATAGCCCAACAGTTCACAAATCACATGCGTGCACTTTTACGGAGCAGAAATGTCTATACAGCGCATAGGGGTTTTTGTGCACCTCAGAAGAAATATATGTGCACCTACACCACCCCATGACAACATTTGTAAATGCCAAATAACCGTGCTTGAATTTTGTTTTTGAAAATGTGTGTGCACCCATGTGGAAGGAAGGGTGCACCCATTATTTGTAAATGCCAAAGTAAACAACATCAAAAAACGAATAGTGCTGCTCCCACTTTCGTGTTTAAGTACTGAGAGCATATATGTATGCACTCATTAACAAATAAGTGTGCACATTATGTTACCCATAAATGTATGCAATCATGGTCCCTGTATCATGCTTTAATATGTGTGATTAACAAACACATTGGATTCATGATGTGATTAACAATTGCATCTAATTCTAATAATAAAGAGATAACGATCCAATTAGAGAGTGATCCAGTGCACACACTCTAAAGTCCGCATGCACACAAACACCATAAAATTTCAAACCCGAAAATATGATTAAAAGTACGGAATCTTACCAATAAAACGAAAACTTCTACATCCCCAAACCTTGGTGAATCCTACCAACTAAATAACACCAAGTCGCCACAAACACTATCCAAAACCCACACACACAAAAAAACGAAAAACAAAAAAAAAAAAAAAAAACAAAAAAAAAAAACAAAAAACAAAAAAAAAAAAACAAAACAAAAGAACAAAAAAAAACAAAAAAAAAATTAAAAAAATCACCTAAATACTACAACATCACATGTCAATAATAACGGGTAGGGAGTGGTGTGCTAATAAATTGATAGGCTCGAGAAATCAATTCCTTATTCTATTGTCTCAAAGTGCTACCCTGCAAATGATTTTATTTTGTAATCGCATAGTAATGTCCAATACTTTGTAACGTCCGGAGAAATGTCCATAACACATTCCTAGAGGCCACCTCCATTTTTCTTTTCTCCTGTCAACCAAAACAACACACACATTCATAGTTCTACCCATAATGCATGCAACTAGGTGAGCTTCCAAGTGTTTCATTTAACGTCTGCACACAAGTATGCCTACGTATGCACGCATGTTCATCAGTTCTAGAACCCTGGACGTGGTTCCCCATTATAGAAAAACAATGCACAAATTTCTGTATGATAATGCACATGGAATAGTGGGATAGTAGATGTGTGCATGTATGGTAGTAAATGGGTGCACAAACACTTTATATACAACGCTTGTTTCCACTTCCCATAGCAAAAGTTTGAATGGAGTAGCATCTTACCCTGATTATTTCCTTTTTAGAGGTGCACACAAGTTGTTTTCTCACAGGACCTCGACCACACCCACCAATGTTTTTTTTTTTCCTTCCCCAGGTCCCCGCCCTCCCCATTTTAACTATACGGTAAACCTTTACACTCTATGCATGCAAAAAAAAAAAAATGCTACAACAACCAAACGCAATTCGAAATGCTTACCAGCAGATTCCACCTCTTTCATTGCTTTTCTCAATCTTGTTGATCGTTTGCTGTAGTCTATTGTTAATTTCCTTCAAGAAGAGTCCAATTGTATTTTAAATACAATCCCTATAATCATGCTTTAAATCCATTTTAAATATTATCTATAGTTAGACTTCTGTTGAATTATCAATATTACCCTTGTTTGTAATCTTATCCTTAATTATTCACAATCAGCCGTGTAAATCTAACCCATCCATTGTCTCTGATCCAAGGGTTGTAATTTGTCCACACATTTGTATTTTAAGGGAGTTTACATGTGAATGCAACCCTATATATATATATATATATATATATATATATATATATATATATAAGAAACCATATTGCTTTTATTGAATAAAAGAAGAGGTAAATGCAAATTATATTGTGCACCGCGGTGCATAATCGATTATGCAACGAGTTTCAAAACGATGTCGTTTTATTTAATGAAAAGAAACAGCACCCTTTTTGCACCGTTCTGTAAAAAGTAACTCTGTTATTCAGTTTCATTTTGTATACACTACAGTTTCAGTTCAACACAGCTATAGTTTCACTTCGATATAACTACAGTTTCATTCGATATTTATACACTCAAATATGTGAAAATGTTATTTAATTTTATTTTATATACACTATAGTTTCATTAAAACACAACTACATGATCATATCGATATAACTACAGCTTCATTGCACAATATACACTCAAATATGTGAAATGTTATTCAGTTTCATTTTTATATGCACTGCAGTTTCATTTCACCACAATTACAGTATCATTTTAATATAACTGCAGTTTAATTTGATAATATATAAAATAATACGTGAGGCAGTGTCAATTTAGATACACTGTAATTTCAGTTGGTAATTAACACACAAAAAAATACGTGTTCTGTTAACAGTAACAATGCGCCATTTTTTTATTTAAAGAAACGATGTTATTTTGACCGCGGTGTACGTCCATCGCGGTCCACAGTATAATGACCCAGAGGTAAAAAGCCTTACGAAGCTAAGGCCCAAAAGTAACTTAGCAAGAGATAAGGGGGCAAAGCCCTACACATCAAAAGGGCCCAAAAGAGCCCGGCTACAAGCACAAGGGGCCAAAGCCCTATCAAATCAAAGGCCCAACAAAGCCTAGCTACAAACACAAGGGGCCAACGCCCTAACAAAATAAAGGCCCAACAATTGGCCTATTAACCAAAATAAAGAGACAAAGTCTTGATGCCAAACAAAGAGACCATTCGGCCGGCAAATTAGTGTGTGGCAAATTATATGGTCCACACAATGTTACGTGGACCATAACAAAAAGTACATTTTTAATATGCTAAATTTACATTATTTTTGTAGTAAATGTATATTATATAATATAATATACACTCAGTACAAAAATAATGTACATCCCCTGAATACAATGTACATTATTTTTATATTGAATGTAAATTATTTTTGTATAGAATGTACATTATTTTACAGTATACCAAATATGGTCCACACTGGTCCACACAATAATGATTGTTATTGTGGACCATAATAAAAGTACATTTTAATATACTAAATTTACATTATTTATGTATTGAATATACATTATATACAAATAATGTACTTTCAGTACTCAAATAATGTACTTTCCCTGAATATAATGTACATTATTAATATACTAAAATTACATTATTTTTGTATTAAATGTACATTATTTTATAACATACAAAATATAATTCACAAAACTTGTGTGGACCATGGTCCACACAATAATGATTGCATTCGACCTTCATATAATGTAGCCTTCACGCCATTCTAAAATCACCAAGAGGTCCACATTGTCTTCTCGTAATCATTATGCTGACACGTTTCTGTGTTCATAATTACTGAATTATATGTTAATAATTATAAAGTTATATATTCATAATTGATGTTAACATAAGAACTAAATAAGGTTGTTATATATATATATATATATATATATATATATATATATATATATATATATATGTTCTTATGATAAAACCTAGCAGCAAATTATTCCCTACAACTCCCCATATTTATTTGAAATATTATTTATTTATTTGACATCAATGAATAGTTAAAGAGAAATATCCAAACCCATGTCTTATTATTTTCAATAATCCATAATTGTAGCAATGAAATACTATTCTTCCTCCCCCAAGTGATAAATGATAGATCACAAATCTTTATAAGATTTTCTCTACAAAGGCCCAGAAATACTTTGTTTATGTATCATTGGAAAGTGCATTAACATAAATACGGCAGTAAGAAGTGGCAATACAAAAGTGCGTAAACTATAAAAACGAGTCAAAGTAGATTGTCCCACACTAGCGTTCCCGCGCAATAATTCTACCAAAGGTGATCCTATTACAGGAATAGCTTCGGGTATACCTGTTACAATTTTCACTGCCCAATAACCAATTTGGTCCCGAGGTAAGGAATAACCAGTTACGCCAAAAGATGCGGTCAATACAGCCAGAACCACACTTGTAACCCAAGTCAATTCACGAGGTTTTTTAAATCCGCCGGTGAGATACACACGAAATACATGCAGGATCATCATTAGGACCATCATACTTGCCGACCATCGATGAACTGATCGGATTAACCAGCCAAAGTTAACTATATATATATATATATATATATATATATATATATATATATATATATATATATATATATATATATATATATATATATATATATATATATATATATATATATATATATATATATATAGAGGCGGGTTCAGGTGCGGCAGTGTCTTACGGTGCGGTTATTTCTTACGGTGCGGCAACACCAATAGTTCACCAAATATGCACCATCAACGTTAGGAAATACACCACACAAAACAGAGTAAACAGAGCCCTGGATCACCAAACACACACCATTAGGTGTGAGTAAAAACACCATACACTGTTCGGAAATACACCATTGGGGGTGGTGAGTTATATGGTGTGTTTTTTTGAGTCTGTGGTGTATTTTGTGATGTTTTATTACATTTCATTGGGGTGTGTTTTTATTACACTGTTGGTGCATATTGTTAACACTGTTGGTGTATTCTGGAATTTGACCGCACCGCCGCACTATAAGACCCTGCCGCATATGAGCGCTCTTCTATATATATATATATATATATATATATATATATATATATATATATATATATATATATATATATATATATATTATTGTATGGACTATAACAAAAGTTACATTTTTAATATACTAAAAGTACATTATTCGTGTATTGAATATACATTATACAAAATAATGTGCTTTTAGCAATTTGATAATGTATTTTTTCTGAATATAATGTATATTTTTAATATACTAAATGTACATTATTTGATAGTATAGTTAACAAAGATGTGTTGACCAATAATGATTGAAAACTAGCCAATTGGGTCATAAGGTGCGAAGGGTATATTGTACCCTTAAAAAAAAAGGGTATATTGTAAGATGATTTATTTATCAATCATTATACCGTGCACCAAGGCGCACATAGTAATGTGCGTCCCGTGCTTTTTAAAATGACGTTGTTTTGTATTCTGTTATAAAATTCTGTGTTTTCAGGTATAAAATTTTGTATATTCGAAACAGGGGATTTTATCCTTTTAAAAAAAATTCTGTGTTTTCAGGTATAAAATTCGGTGTTTTCTATAATATAATTCTGTACATTCGAAACATGGGAATTTTCAGTTATAAAATTCTGTGTTTTCTATTATATAATTATGTACATTCGAAACATGGGATTTTCAGTTATAAAAGTTCTGTGTTTTCAGGCATAAAATTCTGTGTTTTCTATTATACAATTTTGTACATTCGAAACATGATTTTTTTAATCGATTAACAGCAGACACGCGAAAATGGTACAAAACGACGTCAAATAATAGAAAACTAATATATACATCTAATTATACATGTTTAAAACTTGGAACAACAATTAATATAGAACAAAGACTCAAGCTGTCTAACCTTTGCATCATTTCTTTCAAGTTACAAATTTGTTTTTCTTTTTTTTTTTTTTTTTTTTTTTTTTTTTTTTTTTAACGAGTAATGATTGTTGGAGAGATTGAAATTGAGATTTCAATATATGGTTTTTTTTTTGTTTTTTTTTTTAACAATTGACATGTTATTTTCTTTTACTAAAATCACTACTTAATCGCCGACCCATTAGTTATTTGTAAATTGATGAACCTCATTATTATAAGCTAATAAAGATTCATGTAACAGTTAAATCTAAAAAAAAAAAAAAAAACATATCAATAAATAAATATTATTAGGGCATTTCCATTAGGGGGTTCATACCCAAATTTTAGAACAGTAAAATTTACTTGCTTTGCTTTTTAACTAATGAGAAGCCAAAAATTATGCTGCATTTTTCTCCTGTAATGCAAACAAATTGTCAGAATTTTTAAAAAATAATAATAATAACAAATGAAGGTGAGACGCTCAGGTGCGTCTCACCCTTCTGCTTGGCGGGCGCGTGCCGTCAAGGCGTTTCAGAGTGGCAGCCACTCTGAAATTAATTGTTTCTGGCCGTTGCCTATTTTTCCGGCCGTTGCCAATATTTGTGGCTGTGCCGTTGCAATTTGCAACGGCACAAATTATTATTATTATTTTATTATTTTTTTTGTTAATAATTATCATTTTATTTGCTATAAATAACACATCTTTCTTAATTTTTAACACTTTTCATCCTACTCTCAATTTTTATATTTCTCTCAATTCATTCAACACTCTCAATTTGCATACAAAAATGGAAGGAAACAATTCAAATAACCAAAATGGAACAACAACGGAAATTAATTTAACCGCTTTGTATTTTTATTTTTTATGCGTTTGAATTTATTTTTAACCGCTTTTTAGTTTAATTTTTAAGCAATTAGTTATTTAATTTTCATTTTATAACTATCGTATTAATTAATTAGGCTTACTATGTTTATTTTAATTATAAATTTGGAAATGAAAGCTTGCAATTTTTACGTATGCTAATTTACGTATTATATAGGGCGTTTGGTTGGAGGGGGGGAATTATGTGGGAAAGGAATTGTAATTCCATGGGAGTTGAATTACTGGAAATAAAGTGGGAATTTAAATTCCAGTGTTTGGTTGACAGGAATAGAATTACTGGGAATTTCAATTCCAATGTTTGGTATACATGGGAATTGAAAGGGAATAAGTAGTATAAAGTCAAAAATGTCCATTATTGTTGTTAGACATTTATTTTAGGTTAAAAAAGGAAGGGGTAATTTTGACTCATCACTATCTTTTTTTCCCAGGAATTAAAATACCAGGGGGGGGGGGGGGGGGGGGACATGGGATTTTAATTCCATGAAAATGGGGGAATTACAATTCCATGGAATTGCAATTCCCTCCAACCAAACTACGGAATTTAATGGCCTTTGAAATTGGGTGGGAATTAAGTGGGAAGGGAATTTAAAATCCCTCCAACCAAACGCCCATGTTTACCTCTAAAATTATAAATTTTTAAATCAAATAATAAAGAAATAATTAAAATATGGAGATAAATGGTAGGTCCACAAAAAGTTGGGAAAAAATTTAAAACTAATGGAAAGAAGAGATTTTGTGACTGAGTGAGATAGTGAATGATGATGTGAATGTTGGGGCCTACAAAAATTAGGGGTAAACTTCCCAACTATTGAGAATGTCCTTAGTGAATGATAATTGTATGTGAATGTACAACATGATTTGACTTTTTGAGTTTTACATCCCCCTTACGTTAATGAGTTGAAAAAAATTATTTTCAAATCATTAAAATTCAAGATTGACATGTGATACATAAAGCTATTTATTTAAAATTGAACAATCAAGATATAATGAGAGCAAAGTTGTACCAAACCAACATAGGATATTTCAAAATATTTTTAAAAAAATTTTAAGTTGAACTCTTTGAATTCCTAAGTAGAATATCTGTGAAGTACAAGTACAATATAATGTACTGTTTGGTCACCTCTTGTTAGGAAGTCCAAATCCATATGTCATATTCCTCACCTTGATGAAGACATGCACAATCTTATATAGTTTCGAAACCTTAATTCACACCACCAAACAGTCAAGTATATAATTAAGTATATACTAAGAATATGCTCGCATGCAGGGACGGAGCCAGGAATTCTGTTGAGGGAGGGCAAAGAAGCACAGACGAATCCAGAAATTTTTTTCAGTGAAGGCGAAACGTTAAAATAAAAGAGATAATTTGAAAAAAAAATATCTAAGAAATATAGGTATAAATATTGTTGGATATGAGTAAAAAATAAAACCCATCGAAATTTAATAAAATAATTTAAATAAAAAAACACATTATAAATTACACATCTCATTATTAATATAAAAGAATGTTATATATGTGGGTGTGTGTGTGTATTAAATATTAAAAAAAAACTATTAAAAACATGATTGTGTTGAAGCAAAAAAAAAAAAAAAAAAAAAAAAAAAAAAAAAAAAAAAAACTGTGAAAATATGTCCATACCAAGATTTGAACCCATGACCTTCATTATACCTAAACACATGCTTTGCTAACTAATCTAACTCACTTTTTGTTATTATTCATCTGTTTTTTATACTAATACTAAAACTTGTACTATATATATACATATATACATACAAATGTTATATATGGGGTGGGGGTGGGGGTGGGGTGAGGGGGGAAGCTGCCCCCCTTGCCCCCCTTTGGCTCCATCCTTGCTCGCATGGACTTAGCTCATTGATTCAGTAAATATGTCGTATTTAGGAGAAGAGACCAAGGTTCGAACCTCGACAGGACCCTTGTGTGCACCGGTATTTGACCCTATCTGTTGAGCCGAGCCATTGAGTCCATGATTTACATCCTCCCAAATACTATGTCGGGTCATTGGGGGTTGGGGATTCAACATTTTTTAAAAAAGTATACTAAGAATATGGAACAATTCTTGTTGGTGCTGTCTATTGACATTCTTGATTTGAAGTAATTCTTTGTAACTGCAATTTTTTATGGGACTAAAAATTCTTTGCAACTGCAAGTATACTAAAAATATGCTTGATTCATGGGTTAAGTCATCATGTTAGAAATATGAATTTATAACCTATTAACTATATTAAATTTGATTTATTTCTTAAAGAGATTTTAATAAATAAAAGTATTTAAAAATATATATATATATATATATATATATATATATATATATATATATATATATATATATATATATATATATTTTGTTTATGATGGTTTAATAATTTATTTAA